AAACGTGCTCGTCATGTGCCATAAATCGAGTTCCGACGGCAGTCTGGTGCGTCCCGTGTCGACAGTCGCCCGTCGGGTAACCGACTAGGGCGCTGAGCGAATACCAATGACTGCAGTCTGAGTGCCGCAGACAGCCGCGCAGGTGCCCAGCGGGCGGCACGTACCCGTTCGTTCACAGCTTATTTATATACCGGACACCACGAGCTGGGCGAGCGCAACAGGTGTAACCCACCCCGCTCTGGTATCGACTCTGCCCATGGACCAACGTAGGGCAGAGCAGGATCATCCATCGATCTCTAACAGCTTGCGAGGGATCGACACAGGGCTCAACATCTATCGGGGCCGAAGTGAATGTCTGCTGAGACGAGCTGCACAGCAGAGAGAGAGGGAGGGAGGGGAGGGAGCGGGACCACAATCCTAGCTGTATCACACTGAGTGTACCAGGCTTATTTGAAAACATCGCATTAACTGATGGGATTCATTCAGCGTCAGTAACTAGACGGGTGACATTCTAAAATATTCGAACCATCTGCTGAGGCCATTCAAAGCGTGCAACTGAAGGATGAACTGGTGGGAAATGAGCGGCAATGAAAGCAACAGGTGAGGTGGATCATTTCAGGAAGCTCATCTCGAAAGCTATCTTCAAGCAGATATTCAGATCCCGGAATAGAATAGAACTAGTCCGAGCTTAAGTGTTCAATGGTATTACCAGGATTCGATCAAGCAACAGTTTCACAAGTGGGAACCCTCAGCAGCATGTAGTCAATGGATATTCAGTTCATTAATCAACTTCCCACTCATGTTGAATAGCGTTCATTGCCGGGTACTGAGTACAGACCTCCTCAGCAGATCCGCATTCTACCACCATCACAGGTAGCGGCCGCTGCGTGGGCACGGTGGTAACACGGACTAGAAATCAATATTTTGGCGAGTGGCAACCGGACCGGGCATGCGACAGTGGAGCGGTCAACCAAAGCGTTCGATGGAGGGCGGAGACAGTCAGTAGGTCAGGGACGGAAATTTCCGGTGCATTGCGCGAAAGGAGGCAGCAACAGAACGAAACCGACTTAGCAACGAGAACAAATGATCGCCAGTGACAAGCACTCTCAGAAACTCCCTTGCGACGCACCGTCCGACAGCCGTCCGGGGCCGTTTGGAAAAGGTCAGAGCGCTGGCAGCCGCCGGTCGACGGAGCACAGTGGGTCAGGTGGCCTGCTCAGTGGCGCCGTGACTCAAATCGCGCGTGCTTGGCAGACGCCGAGGTCGGCCGCTGCCGCTCCATGTCCGCGATGGAAGGGGGGTGGGGGGACGCGGCACAGAGAAGTCGAGAGTCCCACAGCCGATGGGCGAGACGGAGATCCAGTATACCACGACGTATTCACTGGCGGTCCAGCAAAGCGCCTGGACACTGGACAGGTGACAGTGGCACCACCAATTACTGCCCCTATCACACCAATAAACAGACTGTTTTTTTCCGCTACCGGCTTAGGCGAAGACACGTCGCAGGTAAAACAAACACGCCGTGGCAGGCTGCGGGCCGGTCACCGAAAGAGGGACACCGGAGACTAAAAAAAAAAAAAAACACACACACACACAAGACGGTTTTTAACGCCATCACGGCGGTTGGGGATGATCGATCGTGTAGTCTTGGAGACACCGCTAATCGCGAATTAGCGGTGTTTCCAACACACTACTACAAACACACAAGGGACCAGGAATCACAGACAGGGTCCACTGCACAAAGACAAACACACGTGCGCAAACAGGGCAGCAGCGAGCGGCGGGTCACCTACCGCGCTCCTCGTCCACGTGTGGATAGTACGGCGGCGGGGACAGCATGCCGGCTCACGGACACGGGGACACTGGACACGCGGACACACGGACAGGGCCCCATCGGCCGGCCGGCCTGCCCAGTGCACCGATACCATCGGACCGCCACATGCAACCGGTCCTAAATGGCGTGGACAACACAAGCCGATGCGATTTTTTCAGCATAAAATTCCTGAAGCCTTCGTTCGGGTTACGAATGAGCGAGCTCACGTAAGCAGAACGTAGACTACTTTATAGCATGTCCATGGGGTACGCCGAGACGGGACCAAAACCGTCAAATATTTTTATAAATGACCGATCCAATTTGGTATAAGCAATAAATGCAAGTGTTTTCATTACACTGATAATAGGCAGACATAAAAATATAATTGAGAACATAATCGAATGGTACCATTCGCAAAGGCCATACTAGTGGACAGGTAATAAAGACAGTCGGCTTGAAGTAAAGCGCCCACATACAATTACTGACAAAGAGAGGTTCCCGATGCCGAGCCATCGCAAACTGAACGACATCTGACAAAACTAGCCTTTTCAACCGGCCCCCAGCCGCCGGGTACCGGCGAGTCGAGAACCGTGTAATGCGGCACAGTATAGCATCAGGCGGGACTGCTAACGCCATCTATCGGCAGGCCACTAAGTGGTCCGAGCCATGCGGCACAGCATACCATCAGGCGAGACTGCTAGCGCCATCTAGTGGCACACAGTCACAGACGCCGCTTCAAGAGTGGATGTAAGCTTTATCTTTACGGCCAGGGATGAGCGAGTGATGCTACATGCAACAAGCAACTGAAAATCCCGACATTCTTACGTGTCATAGTATACATAAAAAACAAATATGACAATCTGAAAGAACTAACGTCAGCAACCAACACCACCAACCAGCATTTTCGCAATCCAGAAGAAAACTACACAAAAGCGGCAAATCTGGGAGACAATCCCATGCTTCAACGATGCGAAGACAAGTAACCGATCGCCAATCGAGGCTGACAAACGAGAGGCCCCCGCAGAACCATCCATTCGGGAAAACACGTCTGTTTCTTCAGCCAACAGCGGCGGTGACGGTCAGATAGCGCACGGACCGGTAAATCACCGCTCAGAGCGTGCCGCGGAGCCCAGCAATGCTCCCAACTACGTCACTGGGTAAACAATAGCAGACACCTGCTGGACACGTGGACGGCATCAGGCACGTATACACACGGCGGCAGACACATACCTGGCCGTCAGAATACAATGAGGAACGACAAAGGCGGCTGCGAGTGCTCCTTCAAGCGCTGTCTCACAAGCCTTTACATCCCACCTGGTATCACGTAACGTCAGGGCATCACGCCACCTAACGTCACGCCACCACGTCACATTTCCCGTCACGCTGTCCGGTCACGTCACCATCCTCCCCGCGGCGTTCTGATGGCCGAGCGGCGGGAGCCAGCCGCGGCCTCGGCCACCTCCGTGCCCGGTGCCCCAGGTAATTCAATCTGAGCCGGCTGGCCCGGTGGGCGGCTGGCACGGCTGAGCAGACAGAGGGTGGAACGGCGCCACACCGTGAAAAGTCCAGCCGGAGATCGAAACGGGAGATTCAGCTGACGGGCAGGCGGAGATGGCAAAATGGCAAACGGGGCGCAATGGGAAAACGAAATAGCATGTGATGAATTGGGGTTTTTGGGAGCCCGGACTACAGGTCATCGGCGGAAATCTCATGCCATTTGGTGTAGTGGAAAGCGTTTGCGATATTTGTATGCATGCAATTGTGTGCTACGTGCGCTCGATAGTTCAATTAAATGCACGCTCAAGAGATTCGCCTCCATCTTTTGCGCTCAGATGAGCCATTACAGAACAATTTTATTCCATTTTTACCTAATTGACAGAATACCTTCAAACGGCAGACTTCCTGCCTTCCTGGTATCTAGTCAACCATTTAAAGGAAGGGTGCCACCTTCCGAAATTTTTGTTCTATGAATCTATTTTACTTATTTGAATTTTTAGACGTGGTTAGCGCGTCCACAATATACAAAAAACCGAAACATTGCATTTAATACATTGGCCAAAAAAAAAAGATCGTTGTTTATATCACCACTACAACTCAAGGTCGTTTGATGTGGCAGCTAGGACGGCTGGCATATCCTGTTGTCATGGCAACATATCATTCTGCCATTTGCATTGATGGCGCAACTGAGACAAAAAGATGAACAAATAAAAAGAAAGAAGATAACATGATTTGAACTAAAGGTTTCATCAAAAGAACATCAGAAAGAACATCAGAAAAGAACATCAAATAAGTCGAGTAAAGGTTTTTCCTTTACAATGCTTAAGAGATCTATGGAACCCTTCACCCTTCATGCAACTTACTAGAAAAACTACCCAATTAAAATTTTAAAACTTAAGTGTATACCATAAAGAAAAAATATACCCTTTCAAAATGATAAAACATGCTTTAAAAGTATAACTTTTATACATACCTTTGCTGATTTCATGTTTTATAAAATACCCTTAACACGACGAGGAAATAGTGCTGAAGATTTTTGCCTGCCCAAATGCTGGCAGCAAAACTGGCAAATGATAACTTCACGTGCGGATTCAATGCTGACCGTCTCGAGCATAGGTAAGTGAAGCCGGTTTTTAGGTTCATGTGAGGCTAATCTTGTAAAAACTGCGTTGTGTCCAAAAGGTGGCACCCTTCCTTTAACACAATAAAACGGCAGCGGGATATTAATTAAACTCCTTGATGGTCTCAGGTATTTCCGAGCCAACGTCGGACGCCATTTAGGCACGAAATTAGGCGCTTCCCAAGCTTGGCTTCATAATGTCGAGCCACAAACTCCAATTACTTAACTATATGCATATGTACAACTTGCAGGACAGTATGGGCGACCAAAGGCAAACTGTGACTATCCCTCCCCAACCAGTCCCCATGGTAGTAAAAAAGGCCACGAAACATCAAATAAACACAAAACCAACGGAAACGGACTAGGCATAAGCCACAACTCGTCTGCGACCAGCCGGCCGAGCGAGACGTGCAGCTTCAAAGCCAAAGGCACACTTGAAAACCAAGCCAGACGCACAAGGCATTCAGCCGGGACGGGACGGGACGGTGCGGTCTGCGGGCGGCCAAGGCGGATCCGAGGTGAGGTGAGCGGTGAGAGCGGTGAGCGCGCGCCCGCCGGGCCGGTTCTTACAGGTAGAGGAGGCTATAGAGACGATGGAGGAGCGGCGCGACTCGCGGCGCGCCGGAGTGATGGGCAGAGAGAAGCGCCGCACGCCCGAGCGACGGTTGAACTTGGAGGCGAATTGGATCTGCGGAAAGACGGCGGCGGGCGTCACACCGGCAGAGGTCAGCCCGGGTCACCCTCCCACACCCTCCCGCCCCCTGCACCGTCCGCCGCACTCAATAAAAACAGAGCCTGCCCCGCGCGATGACCACGATTGATCCTACTCAGCACAAATCTACTCTTGATTACGCTTAACGATGGCACGTTTGCCGTCCAATTTCCCAGAAAGAGCGACCGACGGTGTTTTTGAGGCCAATGACGTCGCGTTTGTAGTCGCCGTGACCGAAATTCGTGACCTCGCCGCGACCTTGCCGACTGGTCATTACTGTAACAGGGGCGCTGGTATACAGTCAAGAACGAGCGCGGACGGCCGCCTAAGAAGCCCGCAGCGTGCCGGACTGCAGCTAATGAACGTCCGATTTCATAGGAAATGAACCCAAGGCCCGAGGCGGCGTTGATTTGCCGCTTCGGCGCCGATGCAGGCTGCGGCCACAGCAGTCATGGTCCGGCCTACAGAGCGACCCGATCGGCTGCAGCAAGGATGGGGACGCCGGACGGTCCGATTCTCGGTATAAAAGTGACAAAGGCATTTTGAAATCACGATGGGAGAGGCCAAATGATATCCCATGGATGCTAAAAATGATAACATTGGGTTTCAGTGGTGACTGAAATACCAGAACGGGCCCCGCGTGATTGACATGTGATATGGGGAAGAAAAGTGAGCCATAAGGACGTGATGTTGTGTCGGGGTGGAAAATATGTGTTGCGTCCAATAACGCTGGAAGGTGTAAGACCAGGGATCAGGACTGACTGATGGGACACAGACCGGACCAGCGTCGCGGGATGGCGACGCGTGGCCAGGACCGGAGCCGCTAATAGATCGGTCGAGGTCCTCCCGACAAACGGAGCGTGCGAACTAATGAGCTGAGCTAACATGATCGCGGCGGGGGCCCTGCATGGGGGCGGGCTGATGCGGCGATCGGCGCCGCGACGGCGCAGCACGCGGTAGGACGGTGCGTTACGAAACAGCGCGATCCTTCTAATAAAAAACACGTTTTCAATTCAGGATGGGAATCGTGACACACTTGTGACAAAAACAATTTACTTTAAGCCTAGCATCATCCTACTCAGCAATTTTTAACATTTTTTATCGTTTAAGAAACGCCACAAAAGTATTTTACTACAAATTTGTTTTCGATTTCGCAAAAAGAAAGCTTAAAGAATATTAATACATACTTTACGGTGCGTTCACTGGAGATTAACCGTGCGTTAATTCGAAGGTAGCCGTGCACCAATTTAAATTGGTGCACGCGCGTGCAGTGATGACTTTCTCGACTGAAGTTTTTTCGGAAGGGTCATTGACTTTATTCTTAGAATTCCCATAAAAGGCCCTTTTAGTGGCATGGGCTAGGTTTAATTTAGATTTAATTTCGCACCGTTAAGCATGTATTAATTAGTTTAACACATGGTTTCCGTGCATAAATGGTTTTAACGCACTCGTGGATGGAATGGAGCACTCGTGCGTTAATGCACTCGTTTCACTCGTGCATTAACACACTCGTGCTCCAATCCATCCACGTCGTGCGTTAAAACCATTTACACACGGGAAACCATGTGTTAATATATATTATTTTGAAAACTGCACGTGCAGTTAACCCCTTTTTAAAAAGCACCTTACGTTAATACATCGCCTTCGCCTTCGCGACCCGGTGGGAGCAAATTGGTGAGTTATGATCCTCCCACCTCTCCCGTTATAGCTCGCGCAGTGAAATTCGTCGGTCCAACTGCGCAGCGACGCCTACAGGGCCGGTCGTAAGGGGATCCGGCGCCGGAAACAGCCAAACGGGAAGCACGGCCGAAACGCGCTTCGAATGCCCGGTAAATGCTCCCTTGCAGATTTGACTGGCCGGCAGAACTAGACAAACGCAGCAAACGCACACATGCCAGTCATGGCTACATCTGGCCTGGCGCGTTCAGACGCTGTCGTCATTGAATCGCTCTCGGTCTGATTCTGAGCGGCCATTAGAGCCGAGCTGTCAGCGCATAACCGGGATCTCGCCACGCCGCGACACCCACGGCATCCAAGACAAACACCGCGCTAACCACACCCAGGACACCGCGAAACAGCCGGCGACGCTGCTCCGCTCTCGTCCCCGGCCGAGCGGCTTGTTTTCCACTCGGAGCCGGCTCAGCACTGCCAGGACGCCTCGGTTCGACTCGTCCTCGAGAACCGCGGTGCGCTCAGCGCCACTCGACTGGCGCCGACCTCGCTCGTAAAGACCGCCGTCCCTAGACGCAACGACAGCGGTGCGGCGGCAGCAGCGGGGCGGGGCAGAGGGGGGACCCAAACACCTGCACTGCGGCAAGGGCTGGCTCGCAGCGATCGTTCGCTGACAGTTTATGATACGAACGAGGGGAAGGTCAAAGAGGTCTCCCCAGCGAGAGCAATATACAGAGGACTTGTACGATAAAACTGCATAAAGTTAGCGTTAGCCGGAATTCCCCTTACAATCAAGCGGAGCGGCAGCTAAATTTACTGTTTCGACTAACTCCCGGCACAAGTGTTTTTGATGGCAGCGCTGCCAAGCTGAAGCTCGTTCGAGCTATACAGCGTTGCAGGCCAGCCTGCAGACAGGACAGCCTTTCAGTTGCATCAGGCTTCCACTGAGTCTCACCTGTCCGATCTAACGTCGGGCTGACATCCAACAGACGGATCGGTTCAGATCCCCGTCCGACCGACCGCCTGTCCCCAATCATACATGTACCTCCACTCTCTCGTTCACCAGCCTGTTCACCTTCCCAACGCATTTCCCAGCGGCCCGCTGGACGCTACCCCTTCCCTTCTCCAAACCCCTCACCGTTCAGTTATCCCTTTCCTCCTTCCACCACGTTCCCCATCGTCCCGTTCACTAACCTTTCCTCCTTCCTCTCCTTCGTCGCTGTTCTGACCATTCTCGAAACTATCCTCATCAGACATCCTGCTCATCTGCAGGCTACTGGCCGTCGGCTAACACTGACAACACTGGAGATCGCTAAGGAACTGACGGCCTCACGTCGGCCGACAGCTAGGCGCCCATCAATTATTGGGCCTGGCCGGAGGCTACTGGCAGCTCCTGCAGTCAGCTGGCGGCCAGTTGGCGGCCTGCCCGAGTCAGCTGGTGACCTGGCTGGACCAGCTGGTGACCTAGCCGGGTCAGTTGAGTGACGGCCTCACTCCGACCGATCACAGACGTGACCTCACACACCGCAGTCTGAGGCGAGCGGAGGAAGTCGCCGGCGCCACGGACACCGTGTCACTGACGGCCGGAGCGGCTGCCGGCGGCGGCGGCGTGGGTATCAGCCGGTCGTCGGTCAGTGTCGCCAGTCTGTCGGCAGCCCCCACCTCCCCTCACGAGCAGCACGGACAGTCGATGGGACCACCCACCGCGCCTTGTCAGCGGCCGTCAGCGGACAGGGTCAGTCGTCAGGCCACCCGACAGCAGACAGGGGGCAGTCAGCAGGTCACCAGTCAGCAGGCAGGGGGCAGTCGCCAGGTCAACCGTCACAGGCGCTCCTGGCAGGCTGGCACACCTCGTACGATCCGGTCCGTCCCTCAGTCAGTCTCAGTCACCGGTTACACCGTAAGACTTGACTTAGTCTCAGCGAATGAGCCAGGTCTCAGCTACCTCTAAATCGGGGCCGTCGAAACAGTAGCATCTCCACACGAAAGTTACCGTTGTTGCGTAGTTTTTAGACGGTTTGAAAGTCACCTGTGTCGGCCGCCCAACGAAAATTAACTTTCCCCACCCACTAGCAGACTTGCTTAAAAATAAATGTCTTACTTTTATTTACTTGATATTTAAAACAATGAAGGAGAAACAGCAAGAAAACAGAGCATCGTAACGTTCATTGATGGAAGCACCAAAAACATCCAAATGGTCAAGTGTTTTCGGCATGGAAAGACAGGTAGAAAATGGAAGTTGTTCATATTAGATACCAAAATCTATAATTTCCACACGCAGGTGAACATAAAAAACAGCGGAATGGTTCGTAAAATGATCCGCACCAGCGCCCATCGTTAGGTCAGGTCAGGTTTGGTCATGTCACAGCCAGGTAGCAGTCAGGTCGCCGCCAGCAGCCGTCCCTGCGAACGCCACACCAAGCCGTCGATCAAGACGCACCACTCGCCGTCGGCTCCGTCGCCACACTGGGGCGCGCCACCACCGGCGGCGCCGCCGCCGCGGGGCGCCCGCGCACCGGTGGCGGACGGCGATTTGGGCCGAAGGCGGGGGCGGGGGCGAGGGCGGGGGCGGGCGGGCGCCGTGCCCACCGGCCAGCTCGGCCACAAGGATGCCGCCTGTCAGGAGCACCGCCTCCGCCAGCCGACATCCGGTGTGCGATTAGTATAAATGCTCGAAGAAACGCACAACTCGCAACTACGCCGCTGACTTCCGAACGGAAACATGACTCTGCGAAGACAAGTCGGATATCCAGGGCAGACTTCCTACATCTCGATAGTATCAAACTAAGTCCACAAACCAGAAGAGTTCCCTAAATCCCCGGCCCCACCAGGCACGACCAGCACTGCCTGAGACACGCCACTACGTGCGGCTGTCGATACCAGGCGCTGCCGGAACAGACCGCGGACCCGGACATGCATAATAAACAGCGGAACCAGCGAGCAGGCGCGCCAGTTCCGGCTCACACAGCTGCCTGGGACTGTCGCTGACGGGTCGCGCGGCGTGCAGTGTGGGAAGGTGGTGCCAGGGGGTGGGGGCTGTGGCAGGATGTCAACAAGAGGCTCCTAGTGCAGCCCGAGGAAAAGGGGGAAGGAATGCCGTTTTTAACACGTTGACCGGGCATGTCGTAGAACCGTTGAATGTAAGCAGCTGAGGGAGAACAGCCATAGTTCACAGCAGGCGATAACAAATTGAGTTATTCATCAAAAATAGTTGAGTGAACTCCATCATGCCAGAAACAAAATGCATGCAGTACATCAGTGAGGACAGGAAATAATTTGATTGTGACGCTTCAGAAAGAAACACACGAGGTACGTTCCATGCAAGCGGCAACTAAATACCAGAAAACAAGGTGGCTGACAGCATTGCCATTCCTCTATCCGTACAGACGGAAGGAACATAACTGCAAAAACGTGAATATAGCTTATGTAGTGTGTGATCAGTCCCAAAGCATTATCCAGCGCATGGTTACGGCAGGCCGCTTCTCACCACGGTACGATGTAAGAAACCCTACACCACCACGGCTACCACCAGCGGACGGTCACCGGGGACCTGCGACTGCCCCAACAGCGCCACAGCCGCCAGCCCCATTACGGCCAGGGAGAGAGTGCCGCTGTGGTGTCTGCCGGGCACCCGAGGGCCGACAGCGCGGCCAGCAGCCCAGCCAGCCAGCCCTCCTCTGGGCACAGACCCAGCTAACGCTGTCTCAGCGGCCGCGCTCGGTCATAGTGTCATGTAAATGGCTGCTGAACGGAAGACAAGAAGCAATAACAGCATGACGAGAAAATCCAGGGCGTAGAGTTAGGCGATTAAATGAAAAGTAAACCATTGGGACGGCACCTAAACACAAACAGGTAATAGAGCGTAGCACAATGTGTTTATCACAAAATAATTCAACAGTTGTAGGAAGGAAATAAAGCACAGGATTCACTGGCATACCTACATTTGCTAAAACATAAGCAAATACCGAATACATACAATAAAATATAAAAATTGCTTGAAAGGATACTTCACCAAAGCAAAGTATTGCATCACACAAGCACATACATGTTTATTTTGGCTGAAGCTTGAAAACCAGGCCTCAAGTCACAAACTCAGAGGCATAATACAAGTGCAACTTTGTGTAGGCAGAAATTCCCCTCAACATACTTTCAAAGCCCAAGAGCTGAGCCACTTCATAACCACAGGCAGCTTTGCTCGGGACAAATCCCCGAGCCAGCAATCCGCTTTTTCTCGCAGAAAACATCCTTTCTCTCCCACTGAAGCCTCCTCCGCATCTGTGGAACATAATACCATTCGACACTGCTCCACACGCGTCGCACGCCGCGCCGAACAATGTCGCTCGTTTCTGCCCAGCATCCCCGCGCGCCGGGGCCCCTACCAGGGCTCGAGAGGCTGCGCGCTGCAGAGGACCGAAGCAGCACGTTTGTATGCAGATGACGTCGACACGCATCGCCTCAGGCAGAGTGCCGGAGAGAGAGGGGAGAGGAGAGGAGCCAGCCCGGCGACCGACGCGTTCCATCATCACCCATACGCGCCTCAATAACTTAACGGGCTTGCACTGAATACGAAGAACGCATATAGACGATAAGCCTGAATGTGTGTTAGGAAATTGCAAAATCAAATTAAAGCCGGACTCATTCAGCTCGAAAAGCCAACTCAGCTGGAAATTTCAGTCGAAGTGGACAATTCCATTAGTGCGTGCGTCATCTGGTTAAGTGCCTGGACATGAAATATTATTATTCAGATAGAAGTTAAGCTCGGTAAGGGAATGACTGTCATTTGTGTGTATCGTATCAAAAGTCAAAACTTTATGTGTGATAGAATCAAGGCCTTCATCCATAAGTGGTCGGTCTACTGCAGAACGGGTGTCATCGGGCCAGTGGGAGAGAGGATAGGGTAGCGTGATCGCAGTCCTCTCAGCCACGCATCGTCCACTGTTCTCGTATGTCCAGTATCCGAGCACTCAGCGTCATGCGGCACAGCAGGACTCCAGGCGCACACTGCTGCTGCCATCTAGCGACAAGGGTTAGAAGCAGACCAGTAAAACTGGCCAGCGACTCAGCTACGTGTAGCTTAAGCCCAGAAACAAAACTATCCGGTGGAACAAACGTCCCCAAATCGAGCCAAATTAACCGTGGCACAACGGACTTCCGCGGCAACACCGGGGCGTGACAGCGTCACGCGCGCATGTAGCGGGGCGTGGTGTCGTGACGGACAGCCGTCACGAGCGAGCTAGGTGGGGTGGGGGAGACCCCAGCGGCCGCAGACCGGGTCGAGCCGGACGCTGCAACTGAATGGACAATGCACTAACGGCAAACTATGGAAAACCTACGGCCATGTTTCGTCACTATAAAAACGGTAAACTGCACACTGCTTCCATTTTACAACTGTCAGGAGTAATCAGATGGTGGTGCTGGCTGCAATACCGCTATTCAGCTCCCTATCTCTTGTTGAATGAGCATAGTTTCCTCTATTTGCTTTATCAGCGATATTTCCGTCATATCAGCTAGTAAAGCCGCGGAGTCGTAAATGAAATCAAAGTGACATCAGCGCCGTCTCATCAAACATGTTGTGCATCGTATCAGCAATAAACGTTGGCACAGATTGGGGGATGAAGTAGGGGAAGGTGGGGTAAGACGGACCAGCTAAGGTTTGAGGCCGCATATCTTGCTACACTGCTCTCGTAATTCATATTATTTATAGTCTTCGCAATGCTCAATCCTTCCTCTGTTGATATGTGTAAAGACTAAATTTCAAATTAAAGACATCTAGGTGGTGGATGCTCTTAAAGAGGGACATGTCAAAAACTCAGACAAGAAAAAACGTGGGGTAAGACGGACCACCCAGCAGTGCCTGCTATCCGTTCATGTGTGTTACACTTCTGCTCTGTACTCTTGTAAGAAAAAGTAACCAGAATGGTAAAATAACAAAATGAGCCTTTATTCTTTACTCATGTGTGATGGAAGTGCAGCTAAAAGCTGAGAACATGTGTGTTGATTGTCGTTTGGCATGAATGCATGCTAACTGAGCACTTGCATGCATGGCTCACATGCAACAAAGACTCCTTCCTGAAAAATTAGCTTACTTAAACTTGTGTCAATGTTTTGGAAAAGAACTTTCCATATGCAGGGTACAATGGACCACCACAGGGTAAGATGGACCACAGTGGTCCGTCTTGCCCCAAATCTAAATTCTGTCATTATCATGACGTATATGTCAAATAGCACAACATTGCAAAACCTTGCCTTTCCTAAAGTGTGACTATAACTAAGTTTATAACTTTGTTCTTCACAGTTAAGTGCAAAATAGAAACTAATCATGCAAGAAAGACGCCGTAATTGAATCACCCGTAGACCTCTTATATTAGATCGGTTTGACGAAAAACAACATTTTTCTCAATAACTCAAAAGCTATGCATCCTAGCAGCATGAGCTCAAGGTGGCCATTGTTACGAAGGAAAACAAACGTAGTGAGTGCATAAAGCAGTAGATACCAGCAGCGGTTCAGCCGGGAGGGCTGGTGGTCCGTCTTGCCCCGCTGGGCCGTCTTACCCCACCTTCCCCTACGAGCACAAACGACCGACGCTCACGGAAAATCCGGCCGGCAGACGCCGAACAGGCCTCTATAGAGCAAGTTCAGTGAGACGGAACATGACTTCACAAAGCCGCTCAGCACCGTCATTTAGCAGCCCAACAACCCTAAGGGCACACCGACGACCCCAGACATCAGAGGCACTCCTCTGCCCATTGGGTCACTGTAGTCAGCTGACCGGGTCAGCGTGGGTCATTGCCGGTCAACAGGCGAGCACCTATAGCGGGGAGTGCAAAGATTATGGCGAGAGATACAGTGCCGTATACCGTGCGACCCTGTTATCCCGAGGTGAGATTCCAGACACGGCGGGTGGGGCGGCCGTGCGGCGCATTCCCGGCAGAGCGTGCAGCAGCCTCGCACGTCCGGCGGTGCCCGAGGCGACGCGGGCAAACATCACGTGACGCAGCAGCGCCACTAATGTGCAGCGGCAGGCGGGCGAACTACGCACCTGAGCGGGCGGCAGCGCGTCAGCTGAAGGCCTCTCCAAACGAGCTGTCCAGATATTAGTTCACGGTTCAATGACCATTTGTGAACGCCCCATGCCCACATTACACGTAATAAAAGGTCAACAGCTCAACTAACAGATAAGTTGCCGAGTTTTAGCCGAACAGAAGACTCAAGCCACACAGACAAACCCATTCGGCCGTGACCGGAGACCCAATTACGGCAGTCATTATCAGCTCGGGGCACCTTGGGTCGCGCAACAGCAGCCTTGTGAGCTGTCCGCTTCACCCGTTGAGGGCCGAGCTCCCGTGACTCTGCGGGCTCCGGCAGTGCGCTCGGCCGCACCGTCAGGGCCGTCGGACACGGACGAGGTGCCTGGGTTCGGCACGCAGCCAGCCGCCGCCCCGGGGTACAACCCGCACTACAGCG